AATTCTTTATTTTATAGAGTTGTGAATTATTGGCCAGTTACAGAATCTGTGTGGGGTTGAGTTGTGGGTGATTAAAGATATAGAATAAAAATATGGCTGACATTACTCTGCTTATGAGAACTTAGTTGGTGATAGATGATTTAGTGATTTCATTAAATTGTGTCTATTTGGGCAGGGAAAGATGGCCACTTGTCCACCTACCAAAAAAATAAGAATAGTATGAGAATACATTGTAAGTAGTTATGTTGAACATTAGGAACACTGAGGGAATCTGTAGAATTAAAAATTGGAATAGTAAGATAGGTGGGGAATCTCCTTGGGTAATCCATTTTAGAAATGAATTGGTAAAGGAAAGAAATCCTTGTCCCCAGTTTTTTAACTGCTGTCAGGAACAGAAGGAAGATAAGCCTAATGATCTTAAAGATCCATCAGGTTACTGTTTCCCCTTTTATCATTTTAGGTTTGAAAGAATAGGTGAGAATTTGAAAACAGATCTAAAAAAGGCATTTGAAGGATGAGTCTAGGAAATAGAGGTGGAGTTTTAACCAGGATTCTCATGCCTCCTTATGTTCATTCCTAAAGGTTACCATGAAAGAATTACTTCCAAGTCATTTCTCTTCTCTTTTGAAACAGTCAACTTTGTCTACTAGCACAGACTGATTTGTTTTCTAGCTTCTTCCACTATGTCAGAGATTTCTTCTATTCCTTCCTTCATTCCTTCATTTCTTATTTACACAAACATGTTTTCAATGCTCACTTTCCATCCTAATAAGAGTAAGAGCCAAGAATTTCTATCTGTTTGATCAGGTATCTGGCTGTGTATTCCCCCCACCATGCTGGCTCTCATTCTGTCTAGCATCTTCTACTCTCTCAAAATCTAGACCAATATCTACCACGTTGATACTTTGTCCACAGGTAGGTAATGATCTCTGCTAGCGTCTGCAGAGAACTTCTTAGTAGCTAAGATGCTCCCTTTGATTCTGTGCCTTGAATCTAGTCAAAAGGCCTTGGACCTACTAAACCATCTAAGGTTTGCAAAAGAAGTTTTGTCAGCAGCATTTTCACCACCTGTATTTAAATTCTGTAAAATTCTAGGCTTCTCTTTAATTAATGTTAGGTTTGGAGGCATCTGATCCTTTAGTTGTACTCTCAAATATTTCTCTCTATTTAGGGGATTAGTTTCTCTTTCCTATAGCCTATGATTGTCTTTCACATCTGCAAGGCATTTTTTTGCCTGATGGATAATTTGCTCTTTCCATCAGAATTATACCTACCCTTAAAGATGTTTCCCATAACTGTATTCGACCTTCCTTTTTCTTGTTGCTTTCAAATTTGAAAATTTTTTTTTTTTTTTTACTTCAAGCAACCATTTTTCTTACTAGATTTTTGAACACTTCTAGTAGCATTTAGAAAACTCTGAGCATATTCACTCTTAGAGTAGGAACAAGCCTGGGTGCATCTGCCCAGTGACAAGACTGATAAGACCATTTTCTGGAGAAGGTGGAGAACATATAATTTTACCTTGGTTAGTAACTTCATTAATATCTATGTAAATTTAATTAAGATACAAATGTACAAGTAGAGGAGTGTACCTGGTGCTATACTAAGTTCTGAGGACGCTGAGATGCATAGGATTTGGTACCTGTCAAGGAGCAGTTCAGATATTTCAGTAATGAATTAAGGAGAGAAGAGTTGTGATGATTATGATTTAGCAGAATCGCTCTGGTTCTGGGCATTTGGGAGACAGGTTGAAAGGTGAAAGACTTTAGTTTTAGATTTAGAGCCATTAGTCTTAGCTTTTTGTTTATGGAGAGCGCCTGTGTCTGCTTTAAAAGAGCAAAGATGAGCATGTGTGGTAGCTCTGGGCAAAGTAGCTGTATCTTTAACAAGAACAGAGATGCTGAAAATATAATAGAACCTACTTCATAAGAAAATCAAAGGTGGTATACTATGACATTTTTTCACTGTAGAAATAATCACTTAAACTGAACCAGTGGACCAAGCAAGTATTTGCAAATGATTCAGTGATTTCCTTGTGGTTGCTTGACTTAGTGCTAATAGAGCACACTGTGAAAAAGGAAGTCAGAAGTTCAGCATTTTTAGTCTGCTACTAGCATGCCATGTGACTTTGAATAAGTCTCTGTGTTTGTACGTGTGTGTTTCCTGAAGACTGTGTTGACTTACTGTATAGTGTAAAGAGTGGAGGGAGGGCTCAGGTTGGGATGGAGCCTGGGGGGTAGGTTTGAGGGGGCTGGTGGTGCTTAAAGCCTGGATCTCCTGTCCTTGCAGAACATCTCTGTGTTTACCCCTGCTAAATCAAACTTGGATTGGATATAGGAACTCTAGGATTGGAAATCTAGCTCCTTATACAAAGGGAAGCTCCCTCTCCTCTCTTGGAGGCTTCATCCCCACATTGCAGACTTATTTTCCGAGCACAGAAAGTAATACTGGGCTGATTTCTCATATTATCTGGCCTTATTTTCCTCTATATGCTGTCCCATTAAAATAGCTCAGGGGACTCTGCCTTAGGACAGAACTTTTAAAGCAAAACTAAGTAGAGAATAACAACTCTTGGAATAATTTAGGGAGTAACGCAATTTGCTTTTTCTTCATAGGCCATCTCTATAGTCCCATATTTTCTCAAAACGCATAGTCAATACATTTGCATTTCCAGTTGTTTCCACCTGAAACACAGGTGTATGGAGCTGTCTCTAAATTCACTTA